ATATCTTGAATAGCTTGAACAGGCAAACCAGCTAACATTCCTCGTTGCAATATTCTATCTAAATTACCACTCATCAATGCCTCGGCGTCTTTGATTCGTTCTGGTAACTGTTGCACGATATTAATGGTCTTTTGATCTACACCTGCCATTTTCATTCCATCCATGGCAAGTTGTGTTGCACTTTCTATAGTGAATCCATATTTAAGAATCTGTTGAGCGGCACCAACCGGAAGGCCAGCAAGAGTGCCTCGTTCCAATATTCTATCTAAATCACCACTGAGTAAAGCTTCTGCATCTTTTACACGTTCTGGCAATTTTTGAACAAAATCAACTGCTTTCTGATCGACTCCTGCAAGTGCCATACCACTGGAAGCAAGCTGTGTTAGATTTTCTACAGTGAACCCGTTTTTATCAATTTGACGAACAGCATCAATGGCGACGCCGATCATTTTGATTTTTTCTAAGGAAGCAATTGGTTCGAGACATCCGGTTAGGGGTCCACCTGGACTTAATAATAATTTACCATATTTGATTACTTTGGCTTCAAAATAGTCAACCAGATCGAAATCTGCCGTAATTTTTGTTGCTAAAATGCATTGAGACTTCTCTATCATCTACAAAAGAATATCTACTTGTTACTCACCAACAGCTTTGTAAACATCGAGAGCTCCATCAAGAATCAGCGATGTGCCTAGTTTGAATTGACCTTTCAAACACAAATAAGCCCCACCAACGATTTGTGCGACTCCCATAACGAATACGAACACAGTTTTCCACCAACAACGTTTTGCTTGAATAACGAATACATACCGCCACATCAATCCTTCTGCAAGCCACTCTTCTCGTTCGGCATTAATGTCGTTTGTTAATGGTTCAAACTTAGTACCTTTTAAGCATTCCAATGTTTCTGGCCAATGCTTGAACTCACAGGATATTTCATGTTTACTTTCCTCAAATTGTTTCAATTGTTCACGACTCTGTTCAAAAGTTGAATGAACAATTTGAAGATAAATCAACTCAGCAAGACTTGTTTGGTCAATAGGTCCATGAGCCTAAGAAAATAGCATTAAATAAAAGAAATAGAACGATCTCTCTTTTTCGTCTACATACAGCTGTGGTACCCTCTTCGGTCGTTGGTGGATCATGAAAAATCTCCAACAACTTGCGTGTTTCTATTTCTTGATTTAGCAACCGAATAGCTTCATTCATTGCCTGAATAGCTCGATCGATGGAAGCTTGGCTATTTCCAATATGACATGGTACTGTATTATAGTGAGCGATGAAGTCATGCGGATCAATGTCTAATGCATGTCGATATAATGTCAATGCTTGTCCTTTTCTATCATTCACTTTATCCGTACAGAAGGCATGGAAACCGGCATAAATAAAATATTTTGGATGAACAATCAAACGGCTTACTGCTTGAAACTGGGCATTGATTAAATTCTCCACATCTTCAGAAGAATGATTGTCTAAAATGGCAATTGAATCGTGCATCCGTTTTTGGATGTCAGCCTCAAATTCTCTATAACGTTGTTTTGTTGTAGCTTCATCAGCGCCAACAAATGAAGCCCATAATTCACGTAATGAACTAAATCCTGGTTTGAAAATATCATTAGCAAACGAAAGTTTACTTTTTTGTGAATGCGCCGTATCAAGAAAGCGAATGAGCAATTCGTCTTTCATCTCAACACGCTTTACTTCTGCTATGCCATCTTCCATATCGCTTTCTTCTTCTCGGTCTCTTGCCCGTTTCCAAATATCAACTATTGTAGCTTGATCAACTCTTCCATCAAGTTCTTGACAGATTCGTTCACGGTAAATGATTAATCGAGCTGAACCTGGTTGCCCTTGGCGTCCTGCTCGTCCAAAAGCTTGCTCTTCAATACGAGAATTTCTCGGCATAAATGTTACAATTACATGTAGACCACCTCGTTCATTAACGATCGTCATTGTTCTCAAATCTGTTCCTCGTCCAGCTAGGTTAGTAGCCACG